TGTTAACGCGAAGGCTGGACTCGAACCGCTGAAGCGTCGACCATTTCTGGCCAGCAACTTTCAGCGTCATTAAGCCGCTGTGCCACCGCGTCCCCCTAAATATAATACCAAGCCATGATACAAGTCTTGTATGTTTTCTTGCACTTACATGTCATGTTCCAAGAGGATAACAATGCGATGCATGTGCAACCACCTCTGCCAGAGATTGGCATCCATAGACAGGATGGGCTTCCAGTAGGCTGCAAACTGTGAGTGACTGGAGTCTGAGCTACTGTGCTGCAAGGACAGGACCTGAAAATGGCAGAAATTACATTTCATGAATCTAGCTGCAACTGTGACAGTTTTTAAACACTCTAGCTCAGAAAGAAAAGCCATACTAGGCAGTTAAGCAAGGGGTGGCTAAATTACAGACACAACTCTCCTTAGAAATACTGTATCCAACAGCACAGCTAATAGCTTCCATCATTAAATTCTCACAAGCTAGCTGTATTGAAAGCTCATTATAGGTATAGGTTGCTTTAGACTGGCCTTCTGTAAATTGGGGCCTTCCAGATGTGCCAGGTCTATAACACTCAGAGTTCCCAGTCAACATATTGGCAGTTGTAAACCTTACATGGGGACCAGGCTGCCCAAAGCTGCTTCAGACAGCGCTCCAAACATTTCCCCCCAAAAAGCATTCTATTATTCATTCCTAATTGGCTATCCCCCAAAAAGCTATAAGCCAAATGACATCAGGTATGTGATGATCCAAATTACCATAACAAGCTAAATTTTACATAAGCATAGTTTTCCTGCACTACTTTCAACTTTACAAAGAAAATACTTACAAATATCAAATTAAATTGAGGGCTGTATTTTGTGTGTTTTTGATGCATTTTGACTGTGGTCTTATTTATATTTATGTTTAATTGTTTTTAATGCTTATTTAAGATTCGTTTTAATTGTTTTGTTTTATTGTACGTCACCCAGAGTCACATTTATGAGATGGGCAGCTATATATATCTGATAAATAAATAAATAAACAATAAATAAATTGCAAATACTACCAAGATACCCATAACAATAAAATATAGGCTATAGAATAACATTTCTAAAAAAAAACTAAGAAAATAACATTGGAAAAGAGGACACATGCAGATACTTAGCATTAACACGCAAGATGATCATTTACTCAAAATAGGAAACAGACAACTGCCTGAAGACCCCAAAAAGATGAATTTAAGCTGTATAATTCATTTCTCACATTTTAAAAAAATGGTGTACTGCAGTAGTCAGTCATGATAGTTCTATTGAGCAACACACAGAGAACACTCTAGATAAGTGATAGTTTCTACAATATTTGCTTGGCATGTTAATTTAGCATAGCTGCTCTTTCTGCAAGATTTGGCTATATTAACTTAAGGTAAGAGCAAGCATGCTGAATCTGTTGCTTCTAACCTATTGCTACCTCAAAAGTTATGATTCCAAATAATTAAGAATCTAAACACCCTCACACAATTATTACTGTAACAGCACATACATTTTCCTCTGGAAGTGAGAAAGCAGAACAGAAAATACAGAACTGAGACATATGGCACACATTTGAAATAGGATTGCTATTAACCTTTCATCCTTCTTTCATCCACCCACGGAATCAGGTGCCTTATTTTCCTAATCTGAGGTGTTCAGAGATAAATATAAAGCAATTCAGTTTTAAACCCCCTAAGACCGAAAAAAATATTCTAGATAGGTAGCAACTTAGCTATTACAACATCTTGCTTGCTATTAGTTCAAAATAGGCTAGTAATATATGAATTATGTACCGGTGTAGTGGATCCTGGAGGAAGATAGAACAGTGGCACCCCATTTCGAGTGCTTTCAGGAATGGTGAAATGCTCTGGGACGCTGTCAAAGGATTGCAGATGAACCAGCATCTGGTCAGTTTGGTTGATACTGAAAAGAACAAAAAATCCCTCTCAAGGATCTTTAAGTCACAGCATTTTATATCTCATTAGTGTTAGTTGGATGTGATCAATCCAAGATAGTCTCTAACTCCCATTATGGTTTCTCTGGAAGCAAACATAGTATTTTTTGCCCAACACTGAAGTTCTCTCTAATGTCCAAACACGTCCAATACTAGAAATGAGGAAAACAATAATGGTCAGGAACAACAGGAGCCACAACAGTCCTAGTTTAGAAACATTCATCACATTAACAACCTTATTGGGACTACACATTTAAACAAACTAAAGGGCAGAATTACATACTGCCCAGTCCTTGGGAAAAGAAACTCCACTGGAAGGGCATACCAAGCAAATCTTCACCTTTGCAGGGTGTTCCAGAAGCGGCGTATCACAGTGGTGCGATAGAGGCTGGTGATGGGTTTCCGCACTGTGCAGCTGATGTCATGCAAAATGTCATAGCTGCCCTCCATAGTCACTTCCACCCATGTGCTACGTTTTGAAGGATCTAGGGGCCAGGGGGCCACTGCCAAATACTCAATTCTCATATTGTGCTTCCACAGCAGGACAAGCTTCACTTCCAGTTGAGTACCACCTGTAAGTGTGCAAAATGAGGAATGTGTTGTAGTACAACAGCCCTAGACCCCTCCTTAATTCCTACAGTCTGCCTTTGTGAAACATTCAAACACAGCTTGTATCAAAAATCAGCTCATTTATGGGCCAGATTAATTTCCACATTCTTTTGCCTATTTCTATTTGAGGTCTACCTTACTGATTCATCTAGGTTGTTCTGAAAGTTACATTCCAGTGAATGGTGATGTTGGAAGAGCCAGGAAAGTGGCTGGGAATATGCTCCATACTTATTTAATATTTCTAGCTTTAATTGATCTCAGAACTTGGAGTTCTAGTATCTGTGCTAATTTTTATGAAATGCTTTTCTGAAAACACTCCATTAATATTTTCTAAGATGGGAAGTATAGCAATTACAAAGTCACTTTATAAAAACCAACTAAGGTAACAATTTCAGTCTCAATATAGCGGATAATCTGTTTTGCTTGCCAGCTTGAACCACTGTGAAATATTTTTCCTAATGAAAAGTTCCTCCTAACACAAGAGTTCTCTTTTTTTTATTTTTACACATTTATATCCTATTTTTAAACAAATGCACACTAACAATGGTGCTTCTAACAGTTATAACTCATTACAGTAACTAATCCAGCTACCAATAAACAGACCATTATATTAATAATAGACAAATCCTACCATTATGCAGAATCCTGTTAATGCCATCTGTTGAACAAGAGGAAGGATCTTTGCCTACTCTACCCACCTATCTTAAAGCATGAATCAGGCACTACTAGCATCCAGAAACAAAGAAACATTTGGCAGGCAGTCACCATAAAACAAAATATTATTTTGGCATATTTGTATCCCATTATTGTTTCATGGAACTCAAAGCAGTGATTTACTCTAAAATAATTCTGAGATGTTAGCTTGTTATGACAAACTAATTGGGAGTTCCCAGTTGAGCTGGAATTTGACAATACATTTCTCAGGTACAATTCCAGAGCTACTCCCACAAGTTATACTATAGATTAGGAATAGGATAATCTCCTAGCAATATTTTTACAACCTCCAGAATGCTTAATACTGTGAAATTCAGCACGATTGATTTCAGATCACATGGTTCTTTATAGGCTTTGTTTTCGGGGGGGGGGTGTCAAATGGATGCTCAAAGCCTCTGCAACACACCTACTCTGCATTTTAAAAAATTCTCAACTCCAAAAAGAGGAACAGGTTTTTCAGCCTTATCTCCTTCAATGTCTTCTACTGCATCGCCAGCCATCCCCTGTGGGCCTTGGAAGCCATTTTAGGAAAAGTACAGCTCCCAGAGGGAAAACACTGTATGTACCTGGTCACAATAGGCAACAGTCATACACTACACAAAGCAGACTAGGAACATTGAATAATCACCTTTTGTAATATTGACCTCACGGATACTATAACCTTCTCGCAGCCGCACAGAGACTATACTAATAAGATCAGCATGGACCTCCTTTTCTGTATGCTTCTTTCGTCTCATGGCAAGGGCCGGGTTGCTGCTTGCAGAAACAAGATGTTCATTGAATAATCTGTGCTGGGAGACTGCAATGATAGCAAACATCATGCAAGAGTTACTTCCAACCTGATCTATCTCCCAAACTATTTCTTCCTCCTAGGAAGGCCTGAGCCATTTCAGTGATCCCCTGCAGTCACCTCTAAAGACTCATTATAGAACTGAAATTCCTAGGCAGGAATACTTGCCCCCATCCTCAAGGTCTAGGAACTCAGGACTAACTAAATGCTAACAGCTTGATGGCAAGATTTTATTTTGTTAGTAGCATTGTGGCTATCTCCTTTTCCTTTAAATAGAAGCAGCTAAGGTACAGATTCTCAAACTTTGATGTACCATGATTTTCTAAAATAGTAAATGAATTTATGAGGCCCCCTTAAGTAAAACAATGATTTCACTGGGGTTTGGATTAATCACAAAATTAAAATACCATGTATTAAAAGATATATAACTTTCATTTTAACCTCTTGACTTAGGCTTACTGTTATCAGTACTATCAGTAGATTAGTCAATTTTAGTTTTTTCTTACCATCCAACAAAAGCATTTTATTATTTATTAGGATTATATATATTGTATTAAGGTAGCATACAAATGCTCACATCTATTTTCCCCACAACAGCACCTGGTGAGGTGGATTGGGTTGAGAGAGGATGACTGGCCCAACATCACCCAGCTGGCCTCCTTGACTAAGGGAGGATTTTAACTCACAGTTTCTAGTCCAGCACCTTAAAATAATGGATAAAAATCCTGAACTGCACTCACAGATACAGTCATACAGACTCTCCAAAGACTGCAGATATCCTATTACATATCATGCTGGAAGTCACTAGCTATCAAAAACCATCCACCAGTCACAATGCTGTTACTTTCCTGATCAAGCCTGACTGACTAATTTTTATGATCCATTTCCTCACCAGGTAGCAACCCACAATTTCAGAATTACTGAGTTATTCAGAAGCCCAGCTTTAGGCATGCCTGGGGCAAGGAGGAGAGAAAAGATAGGGGAGTTTAACCCTTGCCTGTTACATAATCTTTTTCTTGTTTAATAATAAGGAACAATGTTGCACCATTCTTATAAATTTCAGCTCAACTGTTTGT